CAGTCGGCACGGGTGAAGACACAAAAGGAGCTGATGAAGGCCCTGAAGGAGATGAAGATCCGGCTGCCCTCCGAGAAACGCAGCAAGGGGAAGTCAGGGACTCTGGCTACCCTCCAGTACGCCCTCTCCTGCGTGAAACAAGTCCAAGGTTGGTTCTTTGGGCTTAGTGGGAATTGCCAGATGGCTTTACTGGACACTTTAGAAAGAATTGGGCGGCCTTACTTCCTCTCCTTCCTCCCTTGTTCCCTTGCTTGAGGCAGAACCTCCAAGGAGGGGGCCAGTGAGTCGTTAGGGGGACCCTCCACTTTTCCTGAGTGGCCCACAACATCATACCACTGTCGGAGGGCCTTGTGTCCTGTTGCGTTGGGGGGCTCCTGAGTAAGGAGGATGGGTTATTGTCTCCTTCCAGATGTGAAGGTCCAGGTTCTCTGCTGGAGCCAAGCAGAGCTCCCGCAGAGCGCAAGGCAAAGGCCTTCGTGCTGATCCACTCTCCCTGCTGATCCACTCTCCCTGCTCTTCTCCCTTGCCTTTTAGCGAGCCAAGACTATTATAAGCAGTGGACCATTGATGACAGCCAGCCCTGCAGCCTGGATATGTCTACTTACAACATTGAGGAACTGGAGAACATCACGTCCGAGTACACGCTCAAAAACCTTGTGAGTAACGCCGCCTTGGGCTTTGTTCCCCAGGCAGTTCTTCAGGCCCTTCGTGGGAACGCAACCCAAATTGGGGGCTGAGAAATCCTGTCGGTTGAGGCGGAGAGCACAGTTTGGTTCCGTGTGCCAAGTGCACATACTTCCATGCTGCCTCTGAATGTCCATAGGATCATAAGAGTTGAAAGGGGCTGGAGGTCATGGAATCCACCCCCTGCTCTTCGGGATCTACTGAAGCACCTGACAGAGGACCATCCAGCCTCTGTTTGAAAACCTCTAGTCAACGTTAACCTAAACTCCTCACTGAATCTCTAATAAGGCAGCTTGAGCGGCATTGCTGATTCAGGCCATCTCCTGTCCATTCCATCACCCTTTCATCTTTGATGAGAGCTGGTGTGGTGTCGTCGTGAAGTTCTGAGTCCAGGCCTGGGGAGATTGAGGTTTAAATCCACCCACAGAAGGGTGCTGTGGGCCAGTCCACATATCCCCCAGTTTGTTGTAGGCATAAAATGAAGATTCCTATGTAAGTTTTCTTTGCATCTTGAGGTCAAACCTTGATGGTTCCTTCTATTACTGTGTCCTCGGGTCGGGACTAGGGCATGGGGATTGGAGCTGATTGGTGCCCCACCTTAACGGACCTCTTGTCCTCTAAATGTGCTGGACTTACAGTTCTATCGTTCCCAGCCAGCCTAGTCACAGCCAAGACCTGTTTATCCTGACTCTCCAGTCCATTTGTAGGCCCAGAAGGGCTTCTAGGGAGTGTCATCCATTTCTCAACCCTCCCTGTTTGTTTTGGTTGCAAAGGATACGTTCACAGTCGCCGTCTCCTTCACCACGGGCAAAATCGTTTACATCTCGGACCAAGCCGCCTTCATTCTGCGCTGCAAGAAAGAAGTCTTCACGGGGGCTAAGTTTGCAGAGTTCCTGGCACCTCAAGATGTCAGCATCTTCTATGGATCCACAGCACCATACCATTTGCCCTCCTGGAGTGCCTGCCCCTCTGCCAGTAAGTGGGGAATCATCCGTGAGCTTGGCATGGGGGCCACCTTGGGTCCCAGGCCCACTTCGGCTTTTTAACCATTGCAACCAAGACTGGAGTCCAGGAACAGCAATAGAGATGGACTCTTTAATCCTTCTTTTGATGTATTTGCCAAGGGGCATCTAAAACTTCTAGGAGAGGTGAGAAATCTTGTTGGAGATTTAAGAATTTAAGATTCAAGAAATCCTAAGAAATCTTTAAGAATTTAAGAAATCTTAAGAAATCTTTAAGAATTTAAGAGTTAAGAAATCTTAAATTTTTATTTAAAGCTGTTTGTCAGATTAGACTTGAGGCCCAAGTGAGGAATTAAGAAAAAAGCCCATTTTCCTCAACTTCCAGACCAGCCCGTTCACCACAAGCTGCTCTTTCTTCCTCTTTCCCTTTCTTAACCTGCAGCTGCCATGGACTACACCCAAGAGAAATCTGTCTTCTGCCGGATCAGGTGAGTTTCGTCTTCATCAGATCCCGTGCCTCCGTAAGTGTTCGGAAGATGCGGGATTTGAACTTGGCCGGAGGGTGGAAAGAACCTGGTCTTTCGGATCCAAAGCCCTCTGAAAGCCTTGCCTGGCCGGAAGATCCCCGCCATGGTTTGGCTAACTGGACAAGGACTGTGCTGGAGGATAAAACTGAAAAAAGGCCCCCGGAGCCCCTCTCGGGAGGGAGGGTCCTTTCCTGCCAAGCGAGGGTGAGAAGGTGGAACCCTGGGCAAGGTGGGAGGAAGGATGGCAGAGCGCACAGCTGCTCCCAGGTCCCCCCTCCGCCCCTCCCTCTGTTGCTCTGCTGCTCCCTCCTGCTGGTCCTGGTCTCCTCCGGCCTCTGGTCTTATTGCAGGCATTTGTTTCTCAGCGGAGGCCACGCAGGAGGGCGCGAGCTGCGCTACTACCCCTTCCGGCTGACGCCTTACCTGACCAAAGTCCGGGACTCCGACAGCACCGAGGGACAGCCTTGCTGCCTACTCATCGCAGAGCGCATCCACTCGGGCTACGAAGGTAAGGGGGGCCCCTGCATCTCGCCTGCCAGTCAGCCCGCGGTGTGCTTGGGGGGCAAGGAGGAGCCGTGCCCGTTGGTCTAGCTTCCTGGCGGTGGCGCTCGGCCTTGTGGCAGCGATGACCTCCCTGGTTTCTCCCACCTTTGAGAGAGCCTCTCCCGGGATCCCACTTTGCCAGCTGGAAGGAACAGCCGCGGGTCTACAAGGGGAGTCGTGTGGATCTTTACAGACCTAAGAGACTGAAAATTGGCTGGCATGGGAGGGGGCGTGTTCTACCAAACCCTGCAATCCACAACTTGTCTGTAGCAGCTGCTGATGAACCAGATAATTATTTCTCCATGATAAAGCTTGGTCCTTTTCAATCAGTGTTCTTCAACCTTGGCCGCTTTAAGATGGGTGAACTTCAACTCCCAGAATTCCCCAGCCAGCA